GTATAATATATATATATATATATATATATATATATATATACACACACCTTGCTACTTGTACTGCGTTAGGCTAACCGAGACTTGTCATTTGCACTTATATATTGTTGCTCTTTTGTTAGTTTTGACTGCTTTTTTGTCCTCATTTGTAAGTCGCTTTGGATAAAAGCATCTGCTAAATGATTAAATGTAAATGTAAATGTAAAATGATAGATTTATTTCATACAAACGCACACAAGCTGTTAACTGATGGACTGGAGTTGTGTGGAGTACTTGTGGATTATTGGGATGTTTTTATCAGCTGTTTGGACTCTCATTCTGACGGCACCCATTCACTGCAGAGGATCCACTGCTGAGACAGTGATGTGATGCTATATTTCTCCAAATCTGATGAAGAAACAAACTAATTTACATCTTAGATGGTCTAAGAGTAGAGATGTTTTTAGCAAATTTTCATTTTTTAATTTTTACACTATTCCTATAAAATGAGATATTCATGTCCACTATATTTTGCATCACTATTTTCGGTGAATGTGCGAAATTTCCGATTCATTAGTTGCTATAGATAAATAACTAGAAGAATAACAAAGCGTAGTAAATGGTAAAACTATTTGCACTACAAACCAGAGCATTTATGATTATGATAATAAATTCTAATAATATGATAATAAATATCAGTCTGCAACATCAAGAAGCAGAACGGACTATTTTTTTACAAGTAAAATAACTGGAAGCGAATGACACTGGAAGCCTTCAATATTCAATTTACAAACATTAAAATAATGTGGATACCTTGATGTGTAAAATAAGTCATTTGAAAATTATCTTCCTGAAAAGTGTAACAGTGCTGTGCCCCAAAACATTCATTTCAAAACATTGATCTGTTTGTATCCAGATCAGCTCAAAACAGCAGCAGTGGCTCAACCAATGGCATGAGTGAAGGGCGGGACTATCTGTTTACCCAACCAATGGCAGATGAGGGGTGTGTTCAAGTCTTCTAGTAGCAGAAAATCCACCATTGATTGTGACAGAAAGAAAGACAGATAGCATGAAGTGGTACCTGATGTAATTGCCGGTTTAATTGCTCTTTTTGTTCAGACCTCTGTTTGCCCCACGGCCCTCTGTGTTAGACGACTGATAAGAGGTAACTACACCTCCTCCAATTTCATTTTCTGAAAAATGAAAAAAGATAGAAACTTGTTATTATAGACATAAATGAGCATGCAAATCACATTTACACTGGGAAACATGCAGCGGCGTAGCAGTTTTAACATCTTCCCCACATACATTTCTCACTCTGAGCTTCAAGTTACCATAAATAAATGAAAAATCAATGGTAAATTTGGACTTTTCTTTAGCTCATTAGTTATATTTCCCCACTGTATATAGAATACAACAGATTCAGCTAATTATGCCATCGCCAGCTCTGAAATAAACTGCAGTTGAGAGGGAGGGAATGCTTTTATTTCACATTCCTGCTGCTTTTCCAATCAGGATCGTTTACAGTTTTTAATAGGATTTATTTAAAGAAATACCCATTAAAAAAAGAAAGATTTTCCATACGATTCACATTTTTTATCAAAACATAAATGGAAATGATTATAGACCACATGTTCACAAATCGCACACGATTGCTGTCTTACATTACATTTTCCATACATTTTCCATACCAGCAGGATTAGGCACATTAAATATAACTTCATTGTGTTTGCTGCAAAACATGTCGTTTGCCAGGTTGTGAAGCAGACAGTATGATATTGACAGAGGAAATATATTGAGGGAAGATGAGGAACTCAAACAGCATATATATATTGTATATCTTGTTTGAAGGGAGGAACTTGTGTGGTGAAACTGGAGCAGATACAAACTAAATTTGGAGCAGTGGCGTTTGATTTTTTCGAGCCTCTGTTGTGTGGCGGCATTCAGAGACACTAATTAAAACCAGTGAAGTGGGCGCTAACAAATGATGTGTTAGCGGTGCTGCAGTGGAGTGTGGTGGGACAATGAAGGGCCCCTCCGGGAGCCTGATAGCACGCTTAATATCAGTGCTGCAGGGCTCTCTGCCAGTGCTCCTCTGTCAAAACCCTCTAAAATCACACACACAGGATTTTATCCAAAAAGTTAAGAGTTTGAGACTCAACTAAAGGGGAGGTGGATGGAGTCTCTTCTGCTCACAAAGGCTGTGTTTTTTTTATCTAAAATATAGTACAAACAGTAATATTGTGAAATAGTTTTACAATTTAAAATAACTGTTTTAACTACTATAATATATTTTAAGATGTAATTTATTCCTGTGATCAAAACTGAATTTTCTGCATCATTACTCCAGTCTTCAGTGCCACATGATCTTCAGAAATCATTCTAATATGCTGATTTGCTGCTCAAGAAACATTTCTGATTATTATCAATGTTGAAAACAGTTGTGCTGCTTCATATTTTTGTGGAAACTGTGATACAGTTTTCAGGATTTTATGATGAATGGAAAGTTCAAAAGAGCAGCATTTATTTGAAATCAAGTTTTTACTGTCACTTTTTGATCAATTGAATGCACCATTTTACTGAATAAAATTACTAATAAAAAAAAACACAATAACTAAAAAATAAAGTATATAAAAATAACAAACAAATGCATGAATAAATATAAACTAAACTTCATAGTACATGTTCATCAAGATACAATCATTTTGGCCTTATAATCGATTTTTCAGACAACCCCAATGAACTGAGAGCACAACTGCACAATTTCTATACTAAAAAAACAAATGCCTTTAGGGATTCCAATTAGAATTTGGCTGAACATATTAGAATGAGGTAATGAGCCAAATGTCATTTATTCCAGTAAAGTGTGGGGTCCACTAACTAATAAAAAAAATTTGGCTAATGGGAAAATATCTATTTTAGACCCATAGAATGCAAAATTCGATAAAAACATAAACTAGAAAACCACCTTTTTCAGAATCAGGCTAAAACCCATTATAAGTGAACAAACCAGTAAAATGAATGTCTTTGAACTGAAAAATCTAAAAAGGGGTAGAAACAGTATTGCAATACTAGTGCTGATCAAGGAAACCAGTGTCCTCTTAATCCAAAAGTTCTTAATTAGAATGAAGAAACACGATCACTTAACAAAAACAAAGATGAAAATGATGCTATCTGGCCGTAAAGACTTCACAGCAGACCACCAGCAAACACCAACAGAAATGACTGCTTTGACTGACTGCTTTAGAGGAGATGATTATCAGTCAATAAGCTGCAGTCTTTGCTTATCATATTGCTTCAGAAGACTTGAAACATACTGAGCAGATGCTTTTTTGGAGCTTGGCATCCATGGTCACCTATCGCTATGTAAATAAACAGTCTGAATATCTGCCAAACTTTGCCATTCAGGTTGGAATGACATGAGGGTAAATGTCAGAATTTTAGATGAGCTGCACAAATGTGTCCCAAAATGACATACTCTACTGTATGCACTTAAACTCTGCACTGTGTACTCTACTGTATTAGAAGGTTATTTTGCGACTGTTAAGTGCATGAAGTGTCCAAAATGTTACACTTGTTTTTTTTTTTTTTTTCAGTTAAATAAGTGCATATGTGAAGTGCTTTTCTTTGTGTGCTCACATTATTTCATGGATAATCAAGTAAACCTAAGTTGCTTCAGTCCAGTAAGTGAAATATTGAAATATTACTAACAATTAAACAGCACAAACTATGCAAAAGCTGCAGCCCTTCTGACGCATAGAGAGCCCAAATCCATGCACGTTTTCATTCACTCGTTCAAGTGTCCTAATACAGTAGTGGACAGCAATAGTATAAAATTATGGAAGCCACATAAACATGCCAAACTGCTGGCTAGAATTTTTTTTTTTTTTTCATTATCTTTTTCTGTGATTATTTTGTGTATATGTCTTATTTAGACTGTCTGACCTGTTCATAACTGAACATGTTGATCACAAGCCAATGAACGCATACACACACACACACACACACACACACACACACACACACACACACACACACACACACACACACACACACACACACACACACACACACACACACACACACACACACACACACACACTCACAAACACACAATAACAAGCACACAGAGAAAGCACACATTTTATTCGGGAGTAAAGTGTTTAATGAAACTGCATTTGAGGGGTCTTATTTGTAAAGGCATCTGAGGTTCTTTGATGTGAGCATGTGATGAATCTTTGTCTGTCTAAATCATAACGTGTGAACAGGCTGTGTAGAGATTGTCTTAATCAGAAGCTGTAATATTTTGGGAATCCCTTTGCTGGAATGCATCTCACAATCTAGGTTTGATTTTCTTCTAAAGGCCTAAAACAATGCTTTAAATAGGATTCCCACAGTCATCAAAGCTTGGAAAGTTCAGAGAATTTTAAAATTATGAATTCCAAACCTGGAAATTAATGAAATCTTAAAAATGCAATTTTGCAAAAATGCAAAAAATTTCACACTGCAAAATTATTATTTTTTTTTAAATAAACATTAAAATGAACTAGTTTTATAATCCAAAAAATAGTATTTAGCATCACTAAATCAACCTAAACACATTAATTTATACCAACAAAATACACTTCATGATTGAATCGGGCAAAATTGGCTATTTAAGGTACCAATTGCAGGAGCTGGTGTACACCGTGATTCGCCAAATTGGTTGGATTTTCTGTACAGCAACATGGGTAATGCAGTTTTTCCCCAAGGATTCTACTGTTAAACTTTATTTATTTAAATAATGTGAACAGATGGCTTCAACAAAAGCATATACCATCGATTAACAACCTCAGAGCTCACAATATGTCTGTCTTTAAAGGTTTATAAGTTTCCCTATGGAGAAAATGAACAGCTTTTTACTTCCAGAATCCAACTGTTGCACACTGGCTTTGGGAAAGACTGAATCGTTGAACTCTGTTGGTAATGATGGAACTCATGACTATAGTTAACTAAGAATGCTTTTGAGAAACACATGTGAGCATATGATGCTTTAAACTGCTGCACATATCCATCGGATCACAATTGCATCACATCCTGTTCTTGCAAATTGTTCCTAAATAGCATATATAATCAGCCACCTCAGTGTTGAATCTCTTAAAGTCAGTCTTATTTTGAATGTAAAGTACTGTTAGTACTTTTTAAAAGACTGTACTGTGGTACTTTTCCTGAGCAGCGACGCATGTGCCACGCAGTCCACGGGAGCCATCATTCACTCGCAGAGCAATTACCCAAACACTCGCAATCGGCTGCACAATGCCGGGACGGCTGGGAAATTCAGGTGAAAGATGCCAGGCAGCAATCAGAGGGAGAGAGCGAGGCCATTTTCTTTCATTTGGCATCAAACGGCAGCACCAGGCCCTTAATTACACGCCAAGTGTCAGGTCGGCCAGCTGAATGCCTTATTATTCTGCTGAGCTGCGTTCAATTCAGTTTTGTTCTGATAATCCTCAGAGAATAGAGCAAACGGAGGCTTGAACCATAACAAAGAGAGAGTCGTAACAGAGAGAGAGGCTTGACTGCGGTGAGGGTGATTTATGTATGCTAGTGAACCACACAGAGGGTCCATCGTATTCCCCTGAAATCAGCTCACGCTTAAACACAAAACTGGATCAGATGTAGAAGCTGCATACTGTATATGCTGTTAGTTACTGCACTACCATGGTAAATAACTTTTGGAAGGAATAGCTGCTAAGAACATGGAACATGACATCAGGATTGTCCCAATTTTATCAAAATCTATGAAGATCTACCACAACTTAAATAAATACATTGTTGCGAGTAAAAAAAAAATAAAAATCTAAATTATTGATTTAATAAAACCTTTTAAGTTGCAAACATTATTTTTATGAGTTGTGTTGACATAATGTTGATCATACCTTTTATTACATACATAAAGTTATCAAGACAATTTCAACATGTTTGACATTTAAAGTATTTTCGTAGCTTAGGATAGATGGATAGAAAACATGTGTTTATGCTGCAAATGCCTAAAACTAATTACATTTAACATTTAAACTAATGAAATTATGTTCAATCAATTAACATGCCATGTTGCTATAACTCAATGTAGTTTGTTGGTTAAACTCAGTTTCATTGGAAATTGTCATACTGTAATTAACTAAACTTTCTTTGTTTTGTTTTGTTTTGTTTT